ACACACCATACACACACACACGCACCATACACACACACGCACCATACACACACACGCACCATACACACACACACGCACCATACACACACACACACACACCATACACACACACCATACACACACACACGCACCATACACACACACACCATACACACACACCATACACACACACACGCACCATACACACACACGCACCATACACACACACACACACCATACACACATACACCATACACACACACACACACACACACACGTGACAAACGTGCGCGCGCCGGTCGCTTTGAGTCATTTTCTTGCGTGTTTCTTACGTCCGTGACGTAGATGACGCAGACAACAGACTTGCAGGATTGCACTCTGTTCTGATCTGTATAGGTTAGCGTTGACGCAGGTTAAACGAAAGATTTGACAGAGCAGTGAGAATGGTGGGAAACACTCTTGTCTTATTGTGTTAATTTTTTATCAGTCGCACCAGACTGCTAACCAATTTATTGTTTCATGGAAAATATTGTGTGCACAATATTTCGAGATATACTGGACGAAACTACATTCCAAGATTCTAAAAAGTCAACAGTACAAAATGAAGCCTTTAATCGAATTCGAGGAATGCTTACGGGATACTCCCAAGTTTCGGTAAGATTTCTCCCTACCCCCATACACACCGACACAATTTATTTCGTACAAAGGAATAGCACTTGTATCTCTCAATGATTTTCTGTTATACTACTATCCACTTACTAATCGTTTCTAGATAGTTTAAGTTTAATACATTTTTTAACTTAAGATGACATTTTACATTAAATTGACTATAAATGATAAAGTGTGTGAAATGTACACTTTACAGATTATGCATCGAAGAGGTGGAGAAGAATGTGGATCTACTAGAACAAAAATTAGATAAGGTATCCTATAATATTATAAAATCTTATTTAAACATTTGTACATCATTAATTTAACTTTCGCACTATCTGAAAATGATTACACTTAATGTAATACATGAATTAAATAATATGCAAATAGTAGACAATTTAATGATAACAATATGACAAGAGTAATTTTTACATATAATTATCACGTTATAATATACATATATATGTGTAACCGACATCTAAAAAATCTATACCAATTTTATAATTTTTTCTTTAGGTATTAAAAAATTGCAGTCTGACTATTGATACTGGAAAAGCCTTTGTTGGACAGCAAAAGTAAGTTTCATATAACAATATACTTTGTCTTTTTCAACTTGTTGATTGTACAACTTGTCAATTGTAATCATTTTGTCAAATATACCACATTAAAATTAACTAAAAATATTATGAAGATACAAAGGAATATATAATATAATCTTTTATAATG